TTTTTCTCTCCTCTCAATAGACTCTCTTTCTTTCCTCTTTTGTAACTTTGCTATTTTTTTTTCTCACAATTAGCCACCTAACCATTTTCTCTTATACTCTCATTTTGCCTTTCTTTATTTTTCTTTTATTCCTCACCTCTCAAACTCAATCAGTTCTCATAGATCTGTTGTGGTATTAATGATACAAGAGTAACAGCTCTCTCATCTTTTACAAAGTTGTACCTATTCTTGAATCCATTCATGTTTAACCTTTCTATCATATTACCATGGTCTTCCCAACAAAATGTGCTCAGCATGCATGAGAACCACATCACACATCACTTCATCGCTATACCTCCCAATTGAAAAATTCACTAAAACTCTCCTATTCACCTTAACCTTTCCACATTCATCTAGCCACTGCAATTTATAAGGTTTATGATGTTTTATAGTAGTCAATCCTAATTTCTCAAAAAGTGTAGTATTAACAATATTAGTACAACTACCCCAATCAATAATCAAACTACATATCTTATTTTTGACATGGCATCTAGTATGAAAGATGTTCTCCCATTGCTACTCTACATCGTCCAATTTAATTTGTATATTAAGAGCACGCATCACCACAAGTAACTCACCTCTTATCGGGTACTCTATTCCATCTCCTTTATTAGCATCTTCTAACATAGACGTATTATCACCATCACTATCACTCACCACTTCTCCATTGTCCCGCAAGATCATTTCCCTTTTGTTTGGACATTGAGAAGAATGTGCCCCGATTCCAAACACTTAAAGCATTTGATATCCCGTGTCTTAGAAGGTTGGGAATCCATTCTGGGTGTAATTTGCTAATAATTTCCTCCTTTTCCCTTGGTGGTTCAGTCTTACTATTCGAAACAACCCCATCACCTCTATTATCATCCCGCTTCGATTTCCAAGAAGAGTTCGAACTCGAAGAACTCGATGTACATCTAGTTGTCCACTTCCTCTTTAATTGCCTATCTACCTTCATAGCTACATGTAGCATGTCTTCCAACTCTACATAATGTTGCAACTCTACCACATTAGCTATATCTCTATTCAAACCATTTAAAAATTGAGCCTAGTGGCCTCTTGATCATCCTCAACATTTGCTCTAATTATCGCAATCTCCATCTTTTTGTGGTAATCCTCCACACTCTTAGAACCTTGGTAGAGCCTTTGTAATTTTTGATGAAGCTCCCAATAATAAGGATAGAAATGCTGGTAGATTGTATTTGACTTAGAAGTTGTACATTGAGAAGGTTCTTCAAATGTTCAATATGTTGAATGCTTAAGCTGCAAGTACTCCCTTAGCTGCCCACTTTAAATTATCATTTGGCTTGTGTCTTTAGTTAGATGAAGACATTGATCATATGTCTCAAGTTCATTATTCCAGTGCCATTGGTTCACTTATCTATGCTATGGTTTGTACAAGACCAAATTTAGCACAAGTAGTTGGTAGATACATGACAAATCCTGACAAGAAAATTGAATAGCAATGCAGTTGACATTCAAATACTTGAGGGGCTCTTCTAATGCTTGCTTGCATTTTGGTAGAAATACATATGGAATCATTAGATATGTGGATTTAGATTATATAGGAAATCTTGATAAAAGGAGATCACTTACCGGGTATGTGTTTACTCTTAGAGACTGTGCTATCAGCTAGAAATCTACTTTGTAGAATGTAGTAGTTTTCTCTACAACAGAAGTAGAGTACACGACCCTTATAGAGGCATGAAAGAAGGTTATGTGGTTAAGAGGATTGATTTGTGACAGATTTTCTCAATAATTGCCACAACTTAAAAATTTATATCAATATTGATATTGATTTTTTGACATCAACATGTTTTATTACAAAAGCATCACAACTTTTCTTCAAGATTCAAAGACAAACAATTATATTAGAGTCTGGGACGGACCCATTAAGGGCCCATTGGGAGCAAGAGTCAAGTGCGGACCCATTAAAGGGCCAGTGGGGGCAATTGCCTTCATTGGGCCCTTAATTTTTGGCATTTACAAAGGGGGTACTTACAAAAATACCCTTAAAATTAAAGATGTTTTGAAAAATCATATGAAAGGTTTTTATGAAGTAAAAAATACTTTGTAAAATAAAAAAAATGACACAACGTCACTTTTTTACTTTTTTAAAAAAAGTGATACAAACTAAAAAAAAGTGACAAAACTAAAAAAGTGACTCTCTCAAAAAGTGATACAAACACTAATCAAAACCTTAGATTCAGTTTAATAAATGGACAAAAATTAAAAAATTAACTACTATAGTGACAACACCAATCAAAACTTTGGAATCAATTCAATAAAGTGACAGAAATTAAAAAAAATGATAAAAACTCAAAAAAGTAACAACACTAAAAAAAGTGACGAAACCCCGATTACTTTTTAATAAAAGTTACTCCACATTGTATCACTTTTTAATGAAAAAATTAAGTGTAATTTCACTTTTAATCTCACTTTTTAATAAAAAAAAATGATATATAATATCAATTTCATTAAAAAGTGAAGTGAAATACAATATCACTTTTATTGCAAAGTGATATTTGTCACTAAAAAAAAGTAACAAACAATAAAAAAAGGTGATAAAAAAAGTGACAAATACTAAAAAAGTGACATGAATTCAAAAAGAAAGTGACAAACGTTCAGAAAAGTGACACTAAAAAAGTGACTCACGATCTTTTTAAGTGTCACTTTTTTATTAAAAAGGACATACAATGTCACTTTCATTTAAGAAATTATGTTTGTCACTCAAAAAAATGACAAAAATTTCAAAGAATTGACAAAAAAAATAAGTAACAAATATTAAAAAAGTGATAAAAATTTAATAAAAAATGACAAACACTAAAAAAAGTAACACAAATTTCAAAAAGTGACAAATTGTCAATTTTCATGTTGATGTAACACAATTGAGTTATTATTTGCCCGATCGAGACATAGCAGAATACCTTGTGCAATATGGTTATTGTAATTGGATTCTCAAATAAGTGATCAACCAATTTATTAAGTGAACCAATATGCAGATTTGAACAAATGAGAGATGAGAATTAATATTAAGGGTTTTAATTCCCTTAGTGCGAAAGCAGCAAAGGCACACTAATTCCACTTCGAACGCAGGCTGCCAAACACACTTTCACTTCCACCACGAATCATAGTAGCAATTGCAAATCATGAGTTAACGGTTAACCAATAGCTCTCATGCCATTGTAGTAATGGGAACGTCTTGCAATTAAATAAAATAACCACCGTTTATTTTCTAATCAATTAAGATGCAAGAATTAAAGCCATTTTAATAATCCAATCAAAACTCTTCTGTCGATTCCAAACAAGTATAGCAAGAATGGATGAATCAGGTCTCAGACTAAAGATTTAGATGCTAGCAGAATCCTTTGCACTCTCGCATACTTAAGGATTTGTATAGCTGAAAAGGTGTGCTGCACACTATCTTGTACAAGACCTATCAAATATTGAACCCCCAATCTTTGTACCCACAATATGATTCACAGCAAAATCATACAAATTTACATGGAAGAATCCCAACTTCTAATAGTCCAACTCAAAATACAGATTGCCAATCCTTAAGCACGGGCTTAAACACAATTTTTTTTCTCTCAACCCATTCAAACGATTCATTAACCATTCTTAAATTCTAACTAATTCTCGAAGAACTCTTGATCGGATCCTCCGAAGAAACCGGTGATCGCACTAGTTCCATCAAGAACCGGACCTTGCGTATTGGGAACACCGTCTTCTAAGATGAAGAATTATCCCTTTTAGATTGGAGAGGAGCTTCCACCTTAGATTGGAGAGGATTTTCTGTTGGTTTTGAGTTAAGATGAAGAATTATCCCTTTTAGATTGGAGAGGAGTTTCCGCCTTAGATTGGAGAGGATTTTCTTTTGGTTTTGATTAATTTTGACCGTAATTAATATGGAGATTAAATACACAATTAGGTTTAAGTGTATTATTCTAATTATTTTCTTTTTATTCTAAAGTACTGAGCCTAATTATCCCTTTACAAAGTAGTCTTTAGAGTTTTTTAGTCCATAAATTTAAGTTGTTAACTCATAATTTTTACATAATTCTATCTAGCCCCACTAAATTACGTTTCGGGTCCGCCCCTGATTAGAGTACCAATATTCACGAATCTCTTCTAGCTTAATTCCTAACGAACAAAATCATAACTTCTATAAATCAACAAAATAATTTTCTATTCAGTTTATGTTTTCATCATATTGAGCTGGCTAGGAAAGTTAATTAAGATAAACTTCCGATGGTCCCAATCTTGTCGGATAAACATAATCTTGGGGACAATGAGCAGGTAATCATGCAGTTAACAAGCCGATCACCCTAAGTAATCGAAGAAGACCACCTTCTACCTAGTCTGCTCCTCTTGTTTATAGAATAATAAAGCTTTTTATTAGCTCCCAGATGGCATTTATGATCTTCGGTATAAGCTATATAGGAGAGAAATAATTCTAGTTTGGCTCTTCCGCCACAATCTGTAAAAATTACAGAAAAAGATTCTTAAATAATCAACAATGAAATGAATTTTGAAGATATATATGTGACAGTGTAATCTAGGATGACTTGATTGAAATAATAACTAGAATTTCGAAGCAGGTATAAAATAATCAAATTGTGACGAATTAAGGTTGATAGTTAAGTTTGGTGACCACATAATCGAGAAAGAATAGAAACTTACTTTTCCTTGGTAGAAGCTATTATTGTAAATGCAAGTGCCCAAATGCTTGAACAAGAAGGTGGAATCTTCGTAAGGCAATCTAGGAACCAAATCAAAACTGTAAACGAGCCTGTAATAATCAATGTTGTATCTTCTTAATTGTTCGTTCAAGAATTCTCCAAAATTTTCATCTCCTACTCTTGGCTGACCAAATGTATAAATCCCCTCTAATCTTTCTAGCAACCATGTCTCCTTATGGAACGCCAAAATTGCAGGAAATAAAATTGCCAATGCACCACCCAAGCTGGGGCCAGTTATTATAAACTTTGCCTTTTCATTTTTCTGAAGTTGCTTCAACATCTTCCCAATGGCATAGTAGGCTACTTCTTGTTTGTTATCTGCTGCCTGTTCTCGGGGCCAGCCCGGGTTCTTCTGCAGCCCCTTTCAAAGGCCTGTAATATCGTATCTGTTGGAGGCATAGTTTAAATAAATAAACAAGTGTGTATCATACCTAACTGCTTTAGATTTTAGATAAACTGGTTCAACATAATATTAAAACAATCAAATGTCTTGATAATAAATTTCATTATTCACACATTTATGCAAATTATGCACGTGCAACACATTTGATAAGAATAAACTTGTGTTTGTGAATTTAAGAGCTTGTGTAGATGACCAATTTAAATAAGGAAATGTATCTCCAATCTAATAGCTTAAACTTTTAGATAAAATAGTTGAATATGGTATTATATATACAAATGCTTAGATTCACGTCGCTTCATTCTTTGTAAATTCTACAAGTGTGAAACCTTTAATAAAATTGAATTTAGCTTAAACGACAGGTTGTAAATTAATTAAAACATTGCCTCATTAATAGTTAAAGTTTTTTTTTTTTAGATGGTGTTGATAAACAATACCAAGAGATATCAAATTCGATCGACCAAGCATTTGCATCAAAGGCTTTGGTGCCTCTAGAGGTGGCAATGGGCCGGCTCGGCCTGTATGCACACGAACTCGGCTTGTTACTCATGGGCCGAGCCGAGATCCGGCTCGCAAGCTTGTCAATTTTTTTGAAGATAAACCTTTAAAAAAAGTGAAAATTACATGGAACCAGAATTTTCAAGTTAACATTTCAAAAATCAGATACAAAGTTTATTTTTATAAAAATCAGATCATAATTAAATATTGCAATATTAATAATAATATTTTAAAAATAAATTAATCTATATACTCACCTCTATCCCCCAAGAAAACCAAATCACGACTCCATGATTTTTGTCATCCTCAAGCTGCCCTCTCTCATTCCCTCTCAGTAACGCGAAAAAATGGCGACCTCGATTCTCCCTCTCCTCCTTTTCTCTCTGCTCGCCGTCACGACCTCCGCTTGGCCCGCAAAATTCTCTTCTATTTCGCAACAACCACCACCTATCACCCTTACTCCCGCTCCCAGATACCTAACCCTAATGAAGCCAATTTTTTCTTCCAAAAACCCTCTTCCTTGTCGTCACCTCATTATCTCACTCTCATCTTCACCACCACGACTACCACCTCTCGATTCCCCAACCATCATATATCCATCAATTACAATGATCGTCCAATCGATCTTGAGCATGATATGCTTCCATACAAGGGGCCAGTTAAATTACACTCCTCAGTATCAAGCTTGATTAAGGATCGCACCAGGACATCATGAGTGTGGTTGGGGCGTTGCTGTTTGGGGTTAGTTGCGGAGTCCTCACGACCGCTACAATGTATTTCTTGTGGTCTCTATTCTCTCCCCATCGCTTTGACTTTGATGATGACTCCTCCTTTTCTTTTGATGATGACGATGACATCACCTTCTCTAAGAAGATGGGGTATCTGGCTATCCCTACAAAGCCCAATGTGGTTTTAGTGTTGTTGGGGGGGTTTTTGTTGTTGTGTAGGTAGAGATGCAACGGTGATGTTGGATCTGGCGACAATGAGCAGGCGATGAGTTGTTGAGGTCTTTTTTGGTGGTGTAAGTAGAGGTCGTGGCAGCAGTGGCTATAGACAATGGGGGTGGTGGTGGTGGTACATGCGGCATTGGTGGTTGTGCTAGTGTTGTGGTGGTGATGTCGGTATTTTTAGATGATAGTTTTTAGCCAGGAGGTGGTGGAGGTGGTGTAGGTGGTTTCGGCGACATGAGTTCGATTGTCATGTTGTTGATGGCAATGGTGAGGTGATGGTTACAAGTTTTGGTGGTGGTCAGAGATTATTTGGTCGTTTGTGATCATTAAATTCATTAATTTGTGACCGAAACAATATGTGACAAATGAAAAATATAAATTGTGACCAAGAAATAATGTGTGACCTGTTTACGAAGTTGTGACTTATAATGTTCGTGATTTGTAACCAATATATAAGTTGTGAAGTATAAATTGTTTTATTTGTGACCGATGAATAAATTGTGACTTATAAAATTTCTGAATTGTGACCATAAAATAATTTGTGACCTATAAAATTTCTGATTTGTGTCCGTAAAATAATTGGTGACTTATAAAATTTCTGATTTGTAATCAATGAACAAATTGTGACATATAAATTTTTTGAATTGTGACCTATAAAAATTTTGAATTGCGATCGCAAAATAATTTGTGACTTGTAAAATTTGTGATTTGTGATCAATTAATAATATGTGGCCAATTATATAGAATTTGTGATCAAATTATATGGAATTGTGACCTAATATATTTAATTAATAAAATATATGTTTAATTAATTACTTTATAAATAAACTTTTAAAAAATCTGAAATTTGAAATTTTAAACCTTATCTCTTAAATTTGAAATTGGTGAAACTTAATCTCTTAGTTATGAAATTTTCCAAAAAAAAAAAACTCTTCACATTGGACGAGCCAACGAGCCTAGCTTGTGGGAGAGCTTGTTTACTCACCCACGAGCTGCTCGTTTTTTAACTCGAGCTCGGCCCGTGAGCTTGTGGCTCGTGGGCGGAGACTGATATTGTGGAAAATGAGTAAAGTGAAGGAGAGTTTCTTGTGATTTTTGACAAGTGTTCCAAATCTTGTATGGAATGTGTACTTGACTTGGAATATAGTTTCCATATGTGTCCCAACAAGGACTGTTTTACAATATATGAAGGAGTTTCAAGCAATGTAGTGATTATGGGAAAAACGTGTCTTGGAAAATTGTTGGAGTTGGTATAGTCAGAATCAGAATTTTCGATGGGACTATTAGAACACTTACAGACATAAGACACATTCCAGAACTGAAGATGAATCTCATATCTTTGAGTGCACTTAATTCAAAGTGTTATAGATACACTAGTGTAGGTATAGTCTTGAAGGTGAGCCAGAGTCCTCTTGTAGTCTGAAGGGATATAAAAGCTCTACACATTTATACATTTTGCAAGGTTCAACAGTTATAGAGGATGCAACATTTTTACTTCTTTTTTGACAGATAAGGAAATTACAAAACTTTGACATGAGCGCCATGTGCATATGTAATGCGAACCCACGTAACAATTGTAGTTGCTAATAATTTCCTCATTTTCCCTTGGTGGTTCGGTCTTACTATTCGAAACAATCCCATCACCTCTATTATCATCCCGCTTCGATTTTCAAGAAGAGTTAGAACTCGAAGAACCCGATGTACATCTAGTTGTCCACTTCCTCTCCAATTGCCTATCTACCTTCATAGCTACATGTAGCATGTCTTCCAACTCCACATAATGTTGGAACTCTACCACATTAACTATATCTCTATTCAAACCATTTAAAAATTGAGCCTAGTGGCCTCTCGATCATCCTCAACATTTGCTCTAATCATCACAATCTCCATCTTAATGTGGTAATCCTCCACACTCTTAGAACCTTGGTAGAGGCTTTGTAATTTTTGATGAAGCTCCCAATAATAATGATTATACATGAACCTCTTTCTCATGATAGCCTTCAATTTTTTCCATGTATTTATAAACCTCTCATGGTTTCCCTTCCTAGAAGTTATTACTTGATCCCATCAAATGATAGCAAAATCTGTAAATTCAAGTACCTCAATCTTTACCTTCCTTTCCTTCGAGTAGTTGTTGCAATTAAATATCAACTCTACTTTCTTTTCCCGCTCCAAGTATGCTTTCGGATCACTCCTTCCTTTGAATAAAAGGATTGTCATCTTAATATTACCCATACTTCTATCAACACCATTTCCAGCAAGATCAATACCTCTCATTTCATGTCTAACTCCTCTATCCCTCATTCTTTCTAACTCGACATCCATCAATGCATCCTCATTTATATCACTATTTGTTTCCCATTCACCAGCATAATTCGTTCTATGATCCAGCTTTCCTTGCCTCCTTGCGTTACGAACTTCTCTAAATTATTCCCTACGTAAGTTAGAAAGCAATGTATCTTGTCTATCCAATCTATCTTTCACATCTTCAAACAACCTTTTGAACTGTCGTATTACCTCATCTGACTTGTTGACTTGATTATTCTTCCCACTTGAAATAGAACCGCCTCTGTCAGACATTCTAAATCTAGTTCAATATTTGCATCACGTGTGTACACTCGTGTATCACTCAACTTGACTTTTTCTCTCTATTAGTCTCACCACTCTACATTTTTCTACTCGTTGCCTTCTTGCAAGTGATTCAAAGAATTAATTCGATCTTAGTAAAAATTTAACCAGTGTGGAGTCCAAACAAAGAATTGAGTAAGAAAGTAATCTATAATGACTCAAGAACGTAGGAATTTGAACTTGAATGAAACGTTAAAGGACAAATTCAAGAAAGTATTTTTTCACTTTGGACGGACACTTTTGAATTCGGAATTTTTTTTTGACTCAAAATGATCGATGGCATTTTTTTCTGAATTTTTTTTGCTCGAAAATTCAACTAGATACCAGCAAAAAAACATAAACTGATTTGGATACTAGATTAGCAAACAAACAAGTTTTGAAATATTTTTTTTTTTGGAGAATGAAGAACAAGAGACTCAAACAAAAAAGAAGAAAATAAATAAATATGATATAACCTTGATTTTTAGAGCCTTGCTCTGATACCAATTGATGTGAACCCACGTAGGAATTGTAGCTACAGAACCCACGATAANAACCCAAGAAAGCAAAGAATTAACGTTTGAAAAGTTCGATCCAATAAATTATTGAATCAAGAACAAAGACAATCGCTAACAATATCTTGACAAGTGATCACAAAACTTATGAACCTTACTTTGAATTTGTAGAATGCCATAAAAATTTAATTTTTGATAAGTTCGAAACTAATTTAATGAAGAATGAGAAGAAAATAAATTTGCCTTGCAATGATTTCTCAATAATTGTGTGTTTTAAAATGAATAGAATCAGTCCTTTATAGAGGACCCATAAAATCTAGCTAAAAACGGTATTTAAGTCTTAAAGATATCAAAAATCTACCATATAAGAGTTTTAACTAAAATATAAAATTACACGAAAATTGGAAAAAAAGCATCATAGGTTGAAATATATGGCCACATAGGTGTATTTCATGCGGTTGCATATGCCAGCATTTCTCCCTTATTTAGTCGGTATAGGTTCATGGGTCGCACCTTATGCGGTCACATAGTTGTTAGTATTGCCTACAAGTTTTGAGTTCTTGATTCTAAAGCATTCTAACTTGTTTCCACTCCCATGCCCAACATAGAACTTGGTCTTTTGCTTGTCAACTTCACCCTCTTGGACTCCATAGCTTGAACAAGTGATTTCATGATTTTATTGACTCTATTTGATCTCGATCCCTTTACCTCTTTTCAACATACATCGAACCCTTGATAGTTTGTTGCCTTCCTTGGATAACATCAATATGAGTAGGAATAGTATGACAGATTTAAGTAGGAAGGGACTTCTTGATGGATAGAAGACCAGTAAGATAAAGGAAGACACAACATGAAGGGAACACTTGAATATATCCATTCAGATCTTTGGAGATCGGCTATGGTGCCTTCAAAAGGATGAGCTGATTACTTATTGATAGTGATTTATGATTTCTACAAGAAAGTTTGGGTATTCTTCTTGAAACAGAAGAGTAAAGTGTTTGGGACCTTCGAGGAATGGAAAACAATGATAGAAAAACAGACTGGAAAGCAAGTGAAACGTTTACACATAGATAATAGGTTGAAGTTTTGTTCAGATGAATTCAATAGCTACTGTAGGGTTGAATGCATCTTGAGATACTTGACGATGCCTAGAACTTCTCACCAAAATGGTGTGGCAAAACGGACGAATAGAACCTTGACGAAAAATATTCGTTATATGTTTTCAAATTTTAGGTTGCCCTAAGTCTTTTTGGGCTTAAACTGCTACTGCTACTGTAACTTATTTTCTGATTAATTGCTTAGCCTCAGTTGCCATTGAAAAAAGACATTAGAAGATGTATGATATGGTAAACCTTCTTATTATTTTGATTTGAAGATTTTTTGGTGTCCTACTTATACTTATGTGGATAATGAGAAGTTGGAGCCTAGGTTTAGAAAGTGTATTTTTCTTAGGCATAAACCTTGTGTGAAGAGATAAAAATTATGGTGTCTTAGGACAAGAAAGGTGATGGTTAGTAGAGATGTGGTATTTAACGAACTTGCTATGGTTTATGCTTCACCTTGTAGGGATTCTAGTAAAACTGAGGAACAAAACCATTCAACTCAAGTGGAGTTGAAAGTTGGTCTTGATGAATAATTCGAGGTTTCAAAATAGTCCACTTCAAATCAGTTTAGTTTAGAGCTGACGATAGTAACATTTTACCTATATCACCAGCAATACCACAATATTCAATTGCTAAGGATAGGCCTTGCAGATAGATTAGACCCCCAGAGAAGTATGGAGAAGCAAATTGGAAGTTTATGCATTGAGTGTGGTTGACAGTTTTAATTAATTGATGAGCCGCTACATATTCAGAGGCACATAGTTACAACGATTCTAGCATATGATTGATTGCTATACAGGAGGAGATAGAGTCATTGAATAAAAATAATACTTGAGATTTGGTGAAATTATCTAATGATAAAAAAGTTGTTCCCTGCAAATGGGTGTTCAAAAGGAATGAAATGACATCAGGAATTGAAAATACAAGGTATAAGGCCAGATTGGTAACAAAGAGCTACAGTCAAATTCCAGGTGTTAACTTCACAGATATGTCTTACTTGGGGTTGTGGTTAAGAATGACTTTGACATTGAGCAGATGGAGGTTAAGACATCATTTTTACATAGAGAACTTGAAGAGAGCATTTACATGCAACAACCAGAGAGTTTCATAATTTCTGGAAAGGAAAACTATGTATGCTTATTAAATAAGTCTTTGTGTGGACTGAAGCAGTCACCAAGACAGTAGTATAGAATGTTAGATTCATTCATGACTACTTATAATTTTATTAGACGTAGTTATGACAGTTGTTCTACTTCAGAAAAATGAGATGGTAGATCGATTACATAAATGTTGTTATATATTGATGATATGCTTTTCAGCTTTGTGAGGATTTTGAGATGAAAGACTTGGGTGCAGTAAGGAAGATTTTTGGAACAGAAACTTTGAGGGATAGAAATGCTGGTAGATTGTATTTGACTTAGAAGTAGTACATTGAGAAGGTTCTTCAAATGTTCAATATGCTGAATGCTTAAGCTGCAAGTACTCCCTTGGCTACCCACTTTAAATTATCATTTGGCTTGTGTCCTCAGTTAGATAAAGACATTGATCATATGTTTCAAGTTCATTATTTCAGTGCAGTTGGTTCACTTATCTATGCTATGGTTTGTACAAGACCAGATTTAGCACAAGTAGTTGGTAGATACATGACAAATCCTGGCAAGAAAAATTGGATAGCAATGTAGTTGACATTCAAGTACTTGAGTGGCCCTTCTAATGCTTGCTTGCATTTTGGTAGAAATACATATGGAATCATTAGATATGTGGATTTAGATTATATGGGAAATCTTGATAAAAGGAGATCACTTATCGGGTATGTGTTTACTCTTAATTAGAGACTGTGCTATCAGCTAGAAATCTACTTTGTAGAATGTAGTAGTTTTGTCTACAATAGAAGTAGAGTACATGACCACTACAGAGGCATAAAAGAAGGTTATGTGGTTAAGAGGATTGATTTGTGAAATCAGTGAAGACTTTAAGATTTCTGAAGTGTATTGTGATAGTGTGAGTGCTATTTTTCTAACTAAGGATAAGATGTTTCACGAGAAAACTGAGCACATTCATGTGATGTATCATTTTGTGCATGATGTGATTGCTAATGGTGATATTGTAATGAGCATGGTTGATACTAAGGATAATCCTGCTGATATGATGACAAAATCACTTCACATTGCTAAGTTTGAGCATTGTTTGAACTTAGTTAGTGTTTGTCATTGATTTAGTCCACTGGGCATGTTTGGAAGAGGTGGAGTGGTTTTTACTTGAAGATGTATTTTTTGTATTCCTTGTGTTGGAATTTGATTCGAGGTGGAGATTTATTGTGGTATGACCCAAATTCCTTTTAATTTGGTATTTAGTTGGGAAAAGAAAATTTAAAGAGTTTTGGTTTGATAGTCCTAATTGATAAAGATCAAATTTTATCAAGGATTGTGAGTTTAGCTTGGAAAATGATTTTGAGATGAAGAAAAACTTTGGAGAAAAACTTGATGCGTCGTAGCTCCCGTGCAATTGGATAGAGACAGAGGCACGGCGTCAATGAGTCGTGGCGCCTATGCCCCTGTTACGAAATTTTCCCCGAGCGCTGTAGCTCCAACCCTGGTGTCGAGGCGCCACCGTGATGGGTTAATCTGAATTTTTTTGAATTTTATGTATTCTTCTCCTATACATATTCATCATTGTTGTATTTCTATAGTATAATCAACATCTTGAGAGCTAAAGAGCTTAGATTTCAATTAAGGGTATTGAGATCTTGATATTATAAACACAATAACTATTTATTATAGTGAATTTTTCTTCCCCTGCCTTTGATTTTTGCCCATCTTTAGATTTCCACATAAATTTTGGTATTTTTTTTATTTTATTATTGTCGTTATCTTGCTATCAATTCAGAACAAAATTTTCCCTTGGATTAGTCAATTTTTGATCTAGTACTAGGCAAGAATTGCTTTCTGATCTGTATTAAAAATCTTATGTATGTTCCTAGAATTCTTAATTAAAAATCTAATCTAGGCTACCAAGTATTTAATAACACGAGTCATAGTTGAACGTGTGCTGCATGTTATTCTAAAATGCTTCATAGGTGCTATAAAAATAATATTATAAGTTGCGAGAATATAAAAAATAATTAATACAAATTATTTGTGTGTAATCAAATTAAATAAAAATCAGTTTGTGAAAATAATTTAAATTTCATCTAAACTGAACATCCAATGAATACCATTATTTTTTCATCTTTGTTTAATATGTATTGAATATATCAATTTGAATTATTTATTATAAATACGCATTATGTCCTCCCATTTAAATACTCGTATCTAAATATAGATCTCTTATTTTGGCCGCCACTGCTTGTGAGCATTTGGCAGATTGCGTTGACAATAAAGAAGCATGTCCCGTTTTGCTGCCTATGGAAGCACCCGTATTCTTGGGCTTCCACTTGGTCCTTTTGAGATGGATGAGGTTGTAGGTGGGCCAACCATCATGGGAGAAGACAGTGCCTGATTACTACTACTTGTGAAACAGCAGGTGATTTCTGATTTCCCTTAAAAGATATCTCTGTGTACATTTGTTGAGTTTGTGAATGCTTCTGAGAAAGATAATTGATCGATGATGCTGTCGATGATGGAGCTTGTGAGGTCGTCAATGTTCTTACAACAAGCATTACCCAAAGTTGTTTGAGGAGACGAATAGAGGAACCCAGTTTAATTCCTTCTCCACCAATGTGTTGTTTGGTTGTTTTGGATTGAGATTTTTGAAATACAATTTGTTTTTGGAAAAGGAATTAATGAAAGCGTAGTACGTGCAAGTTTTAAAGTATTAGTTACAATAGTCTTATGTGAGTAATTCTTGGAGAAAGTATAAATATATTCATATGTATTACACAGTATTTTATATATTTATTCAACTTTGTAATATATTTGGAATTGTTTTGATTGCTAGTATATGTGATTTTTTCCATCAAAATATTAGTAAGTTAGCTGGTTTTTATAATTTGAAGTTCTCATATTGCGTAAAGTGATTGTTTCTTGTGAGAAGAGTGTCGGAGTACGTTAACACTCGTGCGGGACTTTGTCATTGTAGGAGAAAAATTCAAACTCTTGCCTCTTAAAGAATCATTTTCAACATTTCTCCTTCATATATTTAGTTCTGGTAAATCAAAACTCTGTTCGATTTTAGTACTTAAAATGTTATTAGAATGTAATTTAAGCACGAATTTCCCCAAAGAAATTAACAATTCTTAACATGGAAGGATGGGAGATATTTATATAAAAATTGATATTGATTTTTTGACATCAACATGTTTTATTACAAAATTATCATATCTTTTCTTCAAGATTCAAAGACAAATAACTATGCTAGAGTACCAATATTCACCAATCTCTTCTAGCTTAATTTCAAATGAACAAAACGATTTCCATTTAGTTCATGGTTTCATTAAATCGATCGAGCTAGGAAAGTTAATTAAGATAAACATCCAATGGTCCCAACCTAGTAGCATTAACATAATCTTGGGGACAATGAGCTGGTAATCTTGCAGTTAACAAGCCGATCACCCTAAGTAATCGAAGAAAACCACCTTCTTCGTAGTCTGCTCCTCCTATATATGGAATAATAAAGCTTCTTATTAGCTCCCAGAGGGCATTTATGATCTTCGGTATAAGCCATCTAAGAGAGAAATAATTCTTGTCTGGCTCTTCAGCCACAATCTGTGTAAAAATTGCAGAAAAAGATTCTTAACTTGATAAACAATGAAAAGAATTTCGAAGATATAACTATTATATATGTAATTGTTCTAGGATGACTTGATAAACAGGTATAAAATAATATAATGAGATAAGTAATCGAGAAAGAATAGAAACCTACTTTTCCTTGGTAGAAGCTATTATAGTAAACGCAAGTGCCGAAATGCTTGAACATGAAGGTGGAATCATTGTAAGGCAATCTAGGAACCAAATCAAAACTGTAAACAAGCCTGTAATAATTAATGTCGTATTTTCTTAATTGTTCGTTCAAGAATTTTCCAAAATTTTCATCTCCTACTCTTGGCTAACCAAATGTATAAATCCCCTCCAATCTTTCTAGCAACCATGTCTCCTTATGGAATGCCAAAATTGCTGGAAATAAAATTGCCAGTGCACCACCGAAGTTGTGGCCAGTAATTATAAACTTTGCCGTTTCATTTTTCTACAGAAGTGTTTTCAGTATCTTCCTAATGGCATAGTAGGCTACTTCTTGTTTCTTATCTGCCGCCTGTTCTCGAGGCCAGCCCTCGTTCTTCTGCAGACCTAGAGCTTGCATAAATCCGCCGTGCACCTTTCCGAGACCTGTAATATTGTACCTGTTGAAGACATAGTTTAAATAAATAAATAAATGTGCATCATCCCTATCTGCTTTAGATTTTAGATAAAATGGTTCAACATAATATTAAAACAACCAAATGTGTTGATAATAAATTTCATTATTCACCCATTTATGCAAATTATGCACTTGCAACACATTGATGAGAATAAACTTGTGCACGTGAGTGTAGGAGCTTGTGTAGATGACCAATTTAAATATTCATTCTAATAGTTTAAACTTTTAGATAAGGTAGTTGAATTTGGTATTATAGACGAGAATGCTTAGATTGACCTCTGTTTGCTTCATTCTTTGTAAATTCTACATGTGTCAAACCTTTAATAAAATTGAATTTAGTTTAAATGAGGGGTTGTAAATTAATTAATACGTTGCCTCGTTAATAGTTAAAAGTTTTAGATGATGTTGTTAAACAATACCAAGAGAAATTGAAGTCGGTAGACCAAGCATTTGCATCGAAGGCTTCGGTGCCTCTGAAAGCGACGACGATTTTATCATTTTGGTCATTGAACATGAACGCTTGTGTTGTAGCTTTCCCTTGATAATCTGCCAAAATTAAAAAAAATTAATTTTTAATATAATTGCAAAAATTAATTTCACATAAGTAATAGGTCAAATGATCACCGTTCCAAAAATTGTAGGACCCCAAAAAATCCATCTGTGGAGAGGAAAAAAGACAGGAAATAATTAGATGTACAATAATTTTAATATTTCTATTCTTCTCTGTTTTTTTATTCTTTTGTTATTGGATTTCTTTCCATAGCCAAACCATGGAAGGCAGAGTTTTTTTTGTGGAGAAACAATAATTTTTGCCCACAAAACTCGAAATAATCTTAGCCCCATAAAACGGAAAACAATACTATTAACTAGGGTATACAATGGCTAAAAGACGATGTGAGCTTATTACGAACAATTTTATATTTAGTCTTGTTAGAGAAAATACAAAACAAAATTATAAATACGGTTGGAGTTATATAAATAAAATAATCAAAAGAAACATTATGACAAACGGAGAAATAATAAAATAGAGGAAATATGATTGTTGATTTAGTGACGTTATTGAAAGGAATGGATGCCTTTGTTGCACAAATTTTCCTTAAAACAGATTCGTCACCACTATGGTGCAAGAGAATTGATGACGTCGGTCTCATATAATACAATAATTGAAAATAGTTGACTAGCTCCTTGTCCATTCCTTAGGCGAATTTAGAATGTTCACATTTGTATTACCGAGTTAGAACTAAAATTATCTAAACTACTAAGAACAAGACACTTGAAAGCAAAGAAAGAAGAGAAAGGAGAAATTTAGAGGGAGGATAGCCCAAAGTTTGACGCGTGGAATAAAGGGGAGATCATCTTAAATAGTATTAGGATGAGAAAGGGTTTCAATTTTTCATTAATTTGCAGTAATAAAGGGTCTCTGTATGATTTAGCTAAAAATCAAGTTGTTAATAAAATTTGATAAAAGTTAATTAAATGAGTGATTGAAAAGTTAATAAAAGTTATGGATCTCATGAAATGTGTAGTTAAAATTAATTATTGATTTTAAACTTAAATTTTTACCAATTTTTTTAATTAAACAAAACAAGAACTTATATCTTGTAACCATTGTGGTTATCTTAGGATTGTTTTTAAAATCTTATATTTTAATGGTCAATGAATATAATTTTTGTCATATTCCTCATTCGCACAGTACGTGAAAATCATGTAAAATGTTAGAAACAAAATTAAGCACGCAAAGTTTTTGAAAATCATGTAAAATGTTAAAAACAATGAAGAATTTTAATGTACCTTCCAGTAGTCCATAACTGTAAATTCAATGTTAGCCTTGTTCTCGTACGAAACTTTAGCAGCCATCATAGAAAGTGCAGCATAGTATCTTTTATCTCCTAGTTTTATCTTGTCGTCTAACTTTCGACGATTATCGACATGTCCGATAAATGACAGGAAATTCGCTGCGGTTTTTTCCGTATATATTACGTTTCCTGAAAATCAAAATAATTGGTACTTTTAATTTGAAACGGCTTTACACAAAATATTATTACTTTGATTTAAACTATTTCACTGATACACAATATTCATTTTGGTTTTCCACATAAACAATTTTTAATTAAGTATAGACGAAATTTGATATCAAATGTCCATAAATCATCAAGCATCCTCAATTTGAAAACATAAATTGATAGTTGTAGATCTATTTATTAATTTAATTTTTTCTACTAGTGTTCATAAATTTAGTTAAAGTTATAATTAATTAGGATTTTTCTTAGATAAGGAAGCACAATAAAATTGTCTAACTACCCCATTGAAACTTATCTAAACTATGCCAGGGGGGAAAACTTAATTATTTTGTGGTACACTATGCAATCAACTAAAGAGACAAATATATAATTTCCAAAAATTATCAATGCACTATCCCATATCTACAGTCATCAAAACTTAATCACTTTTGCCCAAAGCTTGAAAATTCAATTCTCCTTTGGATTATAAGTCAATTTTGGCTAGTACGAGGCAATAATTGCTCTCCGTCCTGTATTAAAAATCTTAAATGTTTGTTCATAGAATTCTTACTTAAAAATCTAATCTATACTACCAAAACGCAATTGAAAAATATCTTCTCCCACTACTTGATGTCTCCTTGAAAACAACGTAGAAGCCTAAAAATCTCCTTGTAGGACTAATGTTTGAGTACTTATCTATAATTGCAGAAAAGATATATTTTCTTTCAAACTAATAATTGTCTAGCCTAAGTTAGGTCCACTACCCAACTAACAAAATTTTTGACTATGATTCACCACCAAGTATTCATGTCTTCATCTCCATGGTATTTATCTCCACCGACACCCAAAAAATAAAGAATGAAAAGTAAAACCCCATGTGCCCCTCAATCCCACAGACACACATCATCCAGATCATTATACACGACTTATCATGTATGCACCGGACCTTCTTATTCTCTGTAATAAGGAAATAAGCAGCATCAGGGCAGGTGGGGGTGCAGCACAAAAATGTGTTGCATAAGATATAACATACAGATATACACATGGTCATATAGAGTACTAGACAGTATTGACAACAATTAAGAAAGAAAGAGTATTAGAATTGATCTACTGGGCATGATAAAAACTTTCCACTGTTAATTTGGCAGAGAGAACCGTGAGTATGAATCTTTGACAGGTTGTAGAGAACCAGAAGTCCATAAGTAAAGTTGCATAGAACCATACATAAGGTACTCTTGCCAAGTTAGCAATGAAATTTTTTTATCCTGCCTCATATGTTCAGTATATTGTTTAGTATACTAAACCAAACATGCTCGAAAGTAAATATAATTACCACGTAAGAAGTTGAGCATGAGACTCGATAAACTGCCATTGCTCGACAGAAGATTTAACCATTGCTCAACCAAAGAACCAAACCATGCCATGGGTTTCTCTACTGCTAGCAAAAGCTTCTGCACCAAGATAGAAACAAAGATCAGCCATCTACGCTTGAATGGCGCCGGCTGTTTCCCATCTGGGCAGTCGATAAATTTTCTCTTCCCGATGTCATCGGAAAATAAGATGCGAAAGACATCAACCAAGCCAGCTTCCTCTGGCTTTAGGAGCATATAATCTCTACAGAAAGACTTGTTGCATTCGGAAGCCATAGCTTTATAATGCAGAAAAAGGGCAGATGAAATAGTTTGAAGAAATAAGTTGTCCTGGGATATATATATAGAGTATATAATGTTAGAACTTTATTAAAATTT